GATGGCTCAGCGGTTAAGAGCAGTGGCTGCTCTTCCAGTGGTCCTGAATTCAATTCCCAGCACCCACATGGTGGCTCACAATCATCTATAACTGTAATTCCATGGGATCCAGTGCCCTCTTCTGGTGTGCAGATGTACATGCATGCATATACATGAATAAATAAATCTTAAAAAAAAAAAAAAGAAAGAAAAGAAAATTAAAATGAAACACTTTGGAAGAAGCCCAAGGGTCAAAGGACAAAGGGCCAGAAGACATTATCATACATGGCTATTTATCTATTGCAACCACTCTATTTAAAAGAATAAAGAAAAAGAAAAAAGTTAGCTTTACCTTGATGACATTGAGATTCTATGGCCCTGGAATTCCTATTGCCCAGCTTGCTGGGACACTTAAGGTTTGAACAAGGTTCGCAGTCTTGGTGGTCATGAACGCCTACCGTGGAATCAGCCCCGATGTCGGCAGTGGTTTCTTAAGTGGTGCTGAACAGCCGCTTCAACATGAGCAGCTCTCATCAAGAGAAAGCCAAAGCAAGAAGGCACGTGGTGCTCATTTCTTCTTCGTGTGTATGGCTGAAGCAGACAAAGTAGATGGGCTTTTCTAGAGCAGTGCTGGGCATGCTGGTGCATCACGGCAGTCCCTGAGCGTGGCGGGCAGAGGCAGGACTCAGGAGTCCAAAGGCAGTGTTGGTTACATAGTGAATTTGCGGGCACCCTAAAACCGCAAATGGACTAGAGATGTGACTCAGCACTTGTTGCCCTTTCACAGGACCCAAGTTTGGTTCTCAGCACCCACATGGCAGCTTACAAGCATTGGCAGTTCCGATTTGAAGGGATCGCATGACCTCTTCTGACTTCTCTGGGCACCAGGCACACTTGTGGTTAGCAAACACAGGCAAACACTATACAAAAACTATAAATTATATATAAAATATTATATATATGAATACACACACACACACACATATATATATTAAAATTAAAAAAAATTAAAGAACAACAAAACAATAGAAGGGGCTGAAGAATTCTGGGATTAAAGGCTTGTGTCACCAAACCTGGCAAAACTAAGGGAGTCATGGCACACATCTTTATTCCCAGCACTAAGGAGACAGAGGCCAGCTGATCCTATAGTTCAAGGTCAGCTTGGTCTGTAGAGAGACAGTCTCGACTACACAAGGAAATCCTGCTCAAAACACCAAAATCCAAAACTGAAAATGACCAGATCAAACCAAAACAACAAAAGGAAACCTGTAGGGCTTTTTTCCAATTGTTTTCTTTTGGGGTAGATGCAAGTTCTCACTGTGTAGCTCTGAAGGGTTTCAATCCCACCCTATTTCCTCACCATGCCAAGTGCCGGCAATACAAGCAGGTGCTACCTCATCTGACTTATGCTGAGTTGATGATTTAAAAAAAAAAAAGAAAAAGAAACTAAACACTGGTGTACCTCCGAAACCATCCATGCCAATCCATTTATCCTTTTCATCTTGATAATTGATGGTAATTACTTAGTGTGTGCTATTGTTACCTTTTACATTTGTCTTTTTCTATCTATCTATCATCTATCTATCTATCTATCTATTTTTGAGGTAAGTTCTCACTATGTAGCCCTAGCTGACCTGGAACTTGCTATGTATTAGACTGGCTTGGAATTTACAGAACTCCTCCTGCCTCTGCCTCCCAAGTGATGGGATTAAAGGTGTGTGTCACTGTGGCTGGTGATTTTTTTTCTTTGTAGGGATTTAATTGGTGTGTATATGACTAATTATATGTGCATACTTGTGAGTGCCCATGGAGACCAGAAGACTTCAAAGCCATTGGCTAGAGTTACAGGTATTTGTGAGCCATTAAATGTGGGTCCTTGGGAACCCATCGGCAGTTCTCATTTTAGAGCAGCCAGTGCTCTCAACTACTGAGCCATCTCTCCAGCCTTGGTCTGGGGCTTGCCTGCAGGCCATCAGCCCTTCTTCTTGACTTTATTTGCTGATTTTATCTACTTTTATTTTATGTGTTATGAATGTTTCTCTGGATTTTATTCACCACATGCATGCAGTGCCCACAATGGCCAGGAGAAGGCATCAGATTTCCCCTCCCTCAAACTGGTTGCTATGAGTAGATGTGTGGGTGCTGGGAATTGAACCTTGTAGGGATCCTTTCTACACTTACTTCACCATTTTAGTTTGTTGGGACAAGGTATCCCCATTGTTGCCCAGGTTAGCCTAGGGATGTACAACCATGTCTAATACATTTCTTTTCCTTTTTTAAAAATTATCTTTTGTCTATTTTGTGTATTTCAGGGTGAGAGATGCACATGCAGTCAAAAAGGCAACTCAATTCTCTTCTTCTCCCATATGTCCCAGGGATAGATGAGTGGCTATAAGCAAATGGCAGTTTATAAAGGGAAAAAGGGAAACTATTACAATGAGTTGGTTTAACTTTGATTGAACATGTTAATTACAACAACTGAAAGAGGGGTTTTGATTGCTGTACTTCAATGCTTTGATAGCTGGACCTTGATGGTCAGCCTAAGGGAGAGAAGTGCCCAAATAAGGGAATAGACCCAGGTGACTAGAGACCCTTTAAGTACTAGATCCTCTGGAACTAGTTAGACAGCTGTGGGCAGGCACCTGGGTGGGAACGGAACAGTACCAAGGGCTTTTACTTGTTCAGTCATCTCACTGGGTTCTGTGTTTTTTTGTTGTTTGTTTGTTTTTTGAGACAGTTTCTTGCCGGGCTGTGGTGGCACACGACTTTAATCCCAGCACTTGGGAGGCAGAGGCAGGTGGATTTCTGAGGCCGGCCTGGTCTACGGAGTGAGTTCCAGGACAGCCAGGGCTATACATAGAAACCCTGTCTCAAACAAACAAACAAACAAACAAACAAACAAAAAAACAGAGACAGGTTCTCACTGTGAAACCCAGGGTAGCCTTATTAAACTTGTAAAATCTAACACGCCTCAGCCTAAGTGCAGGGACTGCTGATGTTAGCCACCATACCAGGATGGGATTTGTTGTTTTTGGGACAGATTCTCAGTGAGGCCGTTTGGATTTAGCTATGTAGACCAGGCTGGTCCCACTTTTATAGAGATCTGCCTGCTTCTGCTTGCTGAGTAATGGAATCAAAGGCGTACGCTGCCACACTGGCATCAGGTTTATTTTTAGAGACTGCTCCCCTTTGTAGTCCAGGCTGAAATCCTACTGGGTCAGCCTGAGAGTTCAAAGTTGGGCCACCACACCAAGGCAGGAGTCAACGTTAATGAGAATCAAGGCTTTAAGGATGAAAAAGTACTTTGGAACTAGAGAAGAGTTCTTACATGAAACTGTTATTCCACCCAAGGCCACTGCCCACTTTAAAAGTAAATAGGCTGAAGGTGATAGTGCATGCTTGGGAGCTCAACACTTTGAAGGCTGAGAAAAGAGCATGTCTAGCTTGAACTACAAAGCAAGATTTAAAGCCCCAAGTTTGACCCGCAGCACCCCATAAAGCCTAGTCAGTTGTAGCACAAGCTATAGTGTTAAGATCCCAACCAAGGAATGTGAGACCTTATCTCAAAAAAAAAAAAAAAAAAAAAAAAAAAGACATCTAAGTAGGGAGTATGGCACTCTATATACACTCTGACATCCAGCTGCAATCCCAGATTCATGAGCCATTCTTTCAACAGTGCCAAATGGCTTAATAAGAAACTGTGAGGGTGGATTTTCTTTACTGTATGCACTCAATGTGGTTTACTTATTTTTAGTCAAGAATCTCATGCAGCTAAGCTTGGCCTTGGAATCTCTACAATCACCATGATGACCTGAACTCCAAGTGTTGGTATTAAGCATGCCCAAAATTGGCTAACAGTGTTGAGACAGAGGAAGTATATGTGATGATATGAATCTGAGTGCAGAAAACCAACTACCCTTGTACAAGCTGACCAGCATTTCTTTTCTTTTTAGACCTGCTGGGGATTAAACCCAGTACTTCACATATGTTAGGCAAGCTTTCTAACAACGTTATTTATTGGGAGGCAGAGGCAGGTGGATTTCTGAGTTTGAGGCTAGCCTGGTCTACAGAGTTGAGTTCCAGAACAGCCAAGGCTACACAGAGAAACCCTGTCTTGAAAAACAATAACAACAACAACAACAAAAACAAAAACAAAAAACCAAAAAGCTAGTTATCCCCAGTTTTTTTGTTTTTTTTTTTTTTTAAATTTCAAGATATAGTCAAGTTAAGTTGACTAGGCAGACTTCAACCTCTGAAGTAGCTGGGATTACAGATCAGGCTTTAAAATCTGTTTTTAGAGCTGGGCAAGGTAGCCCACATCTTCCTTACTGGAATGGCAGAGGCTGGCAGACAGATCTCTATAAGGTCAGCTGTAATTACAGTTGAGACCCAAAATAAAGTTAAGACCTACTTTTAAAACGAATGTGAAAAATGGAAAAGTTCATGGTTATCAGCATATGTAAGACTCATACCCAAGTAATTTTTCCTCATCTTGGTGAGTTTACTTAACTCCATGTATAATAAAACAATCCATATATTTTGATATTAAGTGGGGAAAACACATACACTTAAAATGAGATGTTTATCAATGGCAGGCCTACTTAAAAAATTCTTAGTCTCAAGCCATGAAAGGCAAAGGCAGGTGATCTCTTGAGTTTGAGGCCAGCCTGGCCTACAGAGCTAGTTTCAGAGCAGCCAGGCTACAGAGAAACTGTCTTTAAACAAAACTTCACAAGTCTCCTTTTCACACTGCTGTTTATTGTTTGGTAATCCCAGTACCCTGGAGACAAAGCTGGAGAGATCTCACCAGGTACGGGTGTCGGCTGCCAAGCCTCCTGGTGACAGGGGTTGGATCCCTGGGACCCATAAGTTGTTTTCTGGGTGGCATATTCATGTGCATACACTAAGTAACTGGAAAAGAGTTGCTTGCCAGGAGGCCTTGAGTTTCATTCTCAGATAAGAAACACACACACACACACACACACACACACAATCTAAACAGTAATTAATGAACAGAAATGTGTCCGTGGCATCAATTTATTGCTTGTTTTGACATTGATATTCCCAAAGTTCATCTCATATCCCCTAGTAATCCTCCTTGAGAGACATGCTGATGAAATTGCTGCAGTATTTTATTGCCTTTTTAATAAAAATTCCTCACTGGCTGATCTTTCCAAGATTTGAGCTGTGTACAGTCAATGATGACACAGCACTGTAATTTCAAAAGGGGGCAAAAACCCATCATTCTGAGCCTATAGAACTTAGTACATGCTAAGTCTCCCTTTCTCAGATTTCGAACTGCCAAAGAAATATTATTTGCTTAAAATGAAACATCTTTACTTAACTGCACGAGCTTTTTATAGATGGATCTCATCTATGGGAAGTTTAAATTTGTTTTTCATCAATGGAGTAATTTCATGTTTGTTTTTTTTCCCTACATGCTTTTAGATGGAAATAACAAAATTAAGAAAAAACCAAACCAAACCAAACCCACATAATCCTGCAGTAATAGAGGTGGAACACAAACATCAAACTGATTAGAAAGCCCCGAACAGTGAGAACCAATGCCTTAGCAGGGTCTTCATTCTAGAGGCTCCGGTGAATATGCTTCCCAATGGAACAGCTTGAGGGACTGTCTGATACACAGGCCAAGGCCACTGCCATATCATGCCAACTGTCTAAAGTTAACAGGATGCTGCCACATCTGGTGAGGAAAATAGAATACAATGTATTATAAAACCAAAGCCCAGCTGAGCATGGTTGTACACACATGGCCCGAGTACTCCAGAGGCCAAGCAAGATGCTATTTCAATGCCAAAGCTGAAATAAAGGCCTTAAAAAATGGCCTGATGTTTACTGAAACAGGCAGGACTGTTTATTGGTGTGGGGGCACAATCTCAGCTCTTGCGCACATGGATGGTTGAATTGTGTATGTCCCACATCAACCATGCATAGGTGATTAAGGGAATTCCTCTAAATAATTAAAAAAAAAATTCTTCTCAAGCAAGTTATATTTCTATCAGATTGTTTTCCAAGAGAAAAAGCAAAATAAAGTGAAACAAAGACCAAACAAAAACACAACACAAAACAAATCCTCACATTCTGTCCATTCTAGGACAAGTATCAGGAAGATCTACTTTTATTATTCTAACTGCAGTGCACAGATAGCCATCAAAGGCCACTTGGGAAAACAGTTTACCTCTTTTTGTATTCTAACAGAGGTGGGAAGCCATCTACAGTATAGCATCAATCCTTGAGGTACACTGGGAAGGAAATAGCCCAGTCGTTCCACCAAATAACACACACTCTAATACAGCTTATAAAACAAAAAGAACACATGATATGACAGATCCCTTGGAACAGGGAAGAAAAGATCATTCTCTGGGAATATCTTTGGACTCTGCGTCAGTTTGTTCCAGCTCATCTTCCATGATTCCTGGGATAGCTATGACAGGTAACGTGCTTCCTGTGTCTGCTACTGGCATGGCTGCTTCATTTCTGGCCTCAGCAGCCTCACCTCTGGACTTGTCTCTGATGTTGCTGGCTTCAGATGCTGTTTCACAGGTCTGCTCTTCTAGTAGATTTTCAGTGTGAGGGTCACTACTGGCCTCTGTTGTGTGCACAGGCCCTTCCACCTCAGCCAGGACTTCACTGTGCTCTGCAGCCGGTTCTCCTTCCCCCTCTACAGCCCTCACTGCGGCTGTGATCACCTCTGCTAAGACTTCTGCAGCCACCTCCTCTGGGGTCTCCTCCTTCTCCTCTCCTACATTTTCATCTCCTTCTGTCTCAAGATCAGCAGTTTCATTGACAAAAGGATCCTCGCCCTGAACAAAGAGGAAATACAAATCAGTGCCACAGCCAGGCAGAGGCTCAGTTTATGAGCTCTCGTTTTTTAGGGACAAAGTCTGCTAAGTAACATACTTCAAAGCTTCTGGTTTCAGCTGGGTAACTTTATTTAGAATTTCACGTATGTGAGTATTCTACTTATGACATCTGCCCCTCCTTCTCCTTGCTCCAACTCTTCCCATGTTCTCCTTCAGCCTTCTAAAAACCCACAGCTTCTTAACTATTACACGTTTGCGAATGTTGGGATTAAATACAAGTACACACACACTAAACAAGTGCTGTAAGCACTAGTGCCACCTATAGATCCTATTTGCACTGTTTTTAACCCTAGTTTTTTTTTTTTTTAAAGACTTATTTATGTATATGAGTATGCTGTTGCTGACACACCAGAAGAGGGCATCAGACCCTATTACAGATGGTTGTGAGCCACCATGTGGTTGCTAGGAATTGAACTTATGACCTCTGGAAGAACAAGCTAGTGCTCTTAACTGCTGAGCCATCTCTCCAGCCCCGTTTTTACCCTATTTTTATTGTGGTTCTGGTTGGACTCAAATTCAGAAATCCTCTTGCATCTGGCTCCCAAATGTTAGCATTACAGGTATGTGCCACCACATACTTTTAATTCCATTGATAGTCTTAAAGATTTATTTATCTATCTTATGTATTAAGCACACCGTCACTGTCTTCAGACACATCAGAAGAGGGCATCAGATCCCATTACAGATGGTTTTGAGATACCATGTGATTGCTGGGAACTGGGACTTCTAGAATAAGTCAGTGCTCTTAACCCCTAAGCTATCTCTCCAGCCCTATTTCATTGTTTGTTATGAGACCAGGTATTGATAACATGGTTATCCATGCTAACTTCAATTTCCTGGGCTGAACTGATTCTCCCATGGCTCCTGAGTAGCTGGGACTACAAGCATATGTCACTACACTCACCTTGGATGCTTCTAATAAGCGTATCACCAACATTTGCTCAGTAATTTACAGCTAAACAATCATGTTTGTGGGGGATGTGTATTGAATATGAGTAGCATAATCAGTGATCCAAACAGTACTCCTACCCAAGGTCACAGCTAAGTACCAAGTCTCTAGAAACCCCCAACTGTCACAGATTCAAATCTCATATGCTCTGAACACTGACTGCACTCTGGGTACACATATCATACAAATCCTCCATCCCCAAGGCTCTTCTGGTCCACTAGATCCCAAAATACAGACCTTGAGGTATTTTTCCAGCATCTTCACTATATGTTTGTTGTTCAGAACACTCTTAGCCACATGGAGACTTGTCTTCTTGAACTGCTCAGCAGCCAACTGCAAAGGCACCAAAAACAGGCTTTTGGTTTTTTTTTTTTTTTTTTTTTTTGTTGTTGTTTTGTTGGTTTGGTTTTTCGAGACAGGGTTTTTCTGTGTAGTCCTGGCTGTCCTGGAACTCACTCTGTAGACCAAGCTGGCCTCGAACTCAGAAATCCACCTGCCTCTGCCTCCCAAGTGCTGGGACTAAAGGCGTGTGCCACCACCGCCCTGCCAAAAACAGGCTTTTAAAGTAGCCATGAGAAACCAGGAAACTAGCCAGGGTGTGTGATGGCTAGTTTAACTGTCAACCTGACACAACCCAACCACCCAGAAGTCTCAATGCTGTACTGTCTAGATCAGGCTAGCCTGAATCAGTGGAGTGGCACCAACCCCTGGACTATGTAAGAGAGAGAACCAGCTAAACACTAAGCATGCATGCATTCATTCTCTCAGCTCTTGACTATGGACATGACAGTTGCTCCAGGTTTTAGCTTTCCTCAAAATGATGTGGTGCATAACCTGAAATCATTAGTTAAAGTAAAGCTTTTCTCCACTAAGTTGCTTTTGGTCAGATTATTTTGTCACACACAGTAAGAAATAAAATCAGGATACTGACAAGCTTTCATGACACACAACTGCTGTCTTTATTTTGGAAGAAAATCTCAAAATGCCACATAGAAAAGTACCACAGAGCCCTTAAAATAAAAGCAGTATAATGATGTGGAAAGGTTGTTATAGGAAAAAACCAGACATGATTCCTAAGACCATGTTCCATGTGCACAGGCAAGGTTAAATAGTGAGCACTTAAGAGGCACGGTGGTGTCACCCTTTAACTCTGAGTTCAAGGCCAGTCTGGTATAGACAGCTAGTTTCACACCAGCCAAAGGTGTTTAGTGAGACTGTATCTCAAAACAAACACACACTATAAAAAAGTAAGTTGTGTAGACTAAACAGGGAACCTTTTTAATTGGGGTGGGGGGGTTTACATTGCTCTCATAGTAAATCCCAGCAGCATGAACCAAAACTTTAGATTGTGCAAGCCTTTTAGCCCAACCTCTATAGGGTGAGATCCTACCACAAAAAAGTAGTTCACACACTACTTGACTGCTTTGAGGCTTATCTTTTCATATACCAACTCCTGGCTTGTAGACTTCTATTCACAGATCTCTAAAGATCCTAGAGGGACTGAAGAAATGATGGTTCAGTGGCTAAAAATACTTTTTGGTCTTGTAGAAGATCCAGGATTCATTCCTAGCATCCACATGGCAGCTCCCAATTAGAATCTAACTCCACTTAAAGGGGATCTGGGACTTTTCTGACATCCATAAGCACCAGACACTCACATGGTACACAGGTATACAAACAGGCAAACCAATCATACACATTAAATAAAAACAATTAAAAAAAACAAAAAGCAAGCAAGTACTAAGAGATAGCCAGGTGGTGGTATATGCCTTTAATCCCAGCACTCAGGAAGCAGAGAGACAGGTGAATCCCTAAGTTCCAGGACAACCAGGACCACACAGAAAAACCCTGCCTCAAAAAATACAAAATAAAGAGATGTGTTGATAGCCACTAGCATTCTATCTTGAAATGAGCCAGCAACATAGCCACACCCACTCTCTATCATCTATGGCTGCTTCTGCATATCTACAACAGTGTACCACACAATTCGGATCAAATGCTCTGGGCCCACAGAACCATCCTAACTGCAGGGAGCTGACTTCATGGTCCCTTCAGATAACAAAGTCCAAGAACACTCAAGTCTACTATAAAATAGACTGGTGTTTGCATAGGGCCTATGCAAATCCTCGCTACATTTTAGATGACTTCCAAGCCTAAGAAAACTGGTTGTGCAAACAGCTATGATAAGGTATTGGTTAGAGAACATCAGAAAAAATTGCAGTGTGTTCAGTACAGTTGCAATTCTTACACTACAAGTTTCTAAGCTCCAGTTAGTTCAATCTGTGATAGTAGGATCACAGTAAAGGCCAATTATGTGTAAGATCAGACTCGCACAAACCCAGCAACAAAACCCTGTTAATCCCCAGGTTAAATCTTTAGCCTCAGCCTCATCAATGGAAGACCAAACCAGGTCAGTTCTCCTGGTCTCCCCTCACTGAAATCAAAATTTTTCAGCAACTGGAAACTTAACTCTGACTTGTAGAAAACAGTTTCAATTCAGAATTTCAGCATACACACACACACACACACACACACACACACACACACACACACACACACTCTCTCACTCTCTCTCTCTCTCTCTCTCTCTCTCTCTCTCTCTCTCTCTCTCTCTCTCTCCAATGTATGCACCAAATTTCTGTGTTTTTTTTTCTTCCCTTCTCTTTTTGAGAGGGCCAGGCTGCCTGTCAGGGCATACACCTTTAGTACTTAGGAGGCAGAGGGAGAGGCCAGCTAGAGCTACACAGTAAGAGCCTGTCTGAAACAAAAGAGAGGATGCACGCCTGCCTCTCAACTCAGCCCCCAGGTATGAGAAGTGCATTCCACCAAGTGCAATTGCATTTGCTACAGACTCTGGAGTGAAGGTTACGGCAAGATGACAGACTCACTGCAAGACCTGACAGCATACAAGGGTCTGATGTCACCCAAATGGCAGCAGAGGAACGGTCATCCCAGGAGCCAGCCTGCATCAAACGAAGACTTACCCTTCGATTATGGTTGTGGTCCACAGAATGCAGATGTCTCTGGAGGAGCTGGTGCTGTGCGGGAATCAGCATGTCACAGGCTAGGCAATGTGCGGCTTCAATCTTTTTGAAGAAATGTTCCTGGCCAATCCCTGGAATGAAACCCAAACAAATAGCTTTCTTCCTCCTCTCCAGCAAGGTCCACACTGTCTCCCTGTTTTACCCTTTAGGATACGTTTACGACAGAAGGCAAGACCTGCCCCACTGTAAGGAATGTTTTGTACACATCTCATCCTTCCAGTTGTGTCTGCACCAGGAGAGAACCGTTTGGCTGCTGCACATCCCTCTGATGGGCTGTCAATGCAGCTGTGTTCTCATTTTACTGCACTCAGGGCTTCTCTCCACTACGTGGCTTTCCAGAGCACTTGGCTTCACACTTTTGGTAGCTCTTGACTACCAAACTGCACTGTTGCTTTTGTTTAGTTTTTTGAGACATGGTCTGTCTCACTATTTAGCTCTGGGTATCCCAAGACTTACTCTGTAGAAGTAGCTATCCTTGAACTCAGAGACTCACCTGCCTCTCCCTCCCAAGTGCTGGATTAAAGGCTACCACCTTTAAAGGCTGGTTAATTTGTATCTTTTTCCCCCCTTCCCTTCTCCCTCTTGCTCTGGCCCCCGCTGGCTCAGGCCAGCTCACTCTGGCCCAAAGTACACTGTAGCTGTCTTAAAACACCCATACAACAGAATCAGATCTCATTACAGATAGCTGTGAACCACCATGTGGTGCTGGGATTTGAACTCATGACTTATCGAAAAGCAGTCAGTGCTCTTAACTGCTGAGCCATCTCACCAGCCCCCATAGTTTTAAAAATAAATTAAAAACAAACAAACTTATATGTATAAGCAGTTTGCTTGCATATATGCCTGCTCATCACATGTGCCTGGTGCCCAAGGAGGCTCCCTGGAGGCCAGAAGAGGGCATCATAGCCCCTAAAACTGGGGTTAGAGACAGTTGTGAACTGCTATGTTGAGCTGGGAATCAAATTAAAAAACTGTAGGAGATCAGGCAGTGCTCCTAAGTACTGAGGCACTTCTTTAGTCCCTGGGCTATTTTTTTATGGTGTGGGGATTAAACAAACGCTGGCTTCATACGTGCTAGCTAAGTAGCAAAACATACAGAACTATATAAACGTTTGCATTCTGTCTTTTTAAATCTATTATGTGTTGATATTTTGTCTGTACTCATGTAGAGGGCATTGGGTGTCCCGGGACTGGAGCCATGGATGACTGTGAGCTGCCGTGTGGTAATAGCAACCACACCGAGTCCCCTGGAAGAGCAGCCAGCCTACATGAGTCATGTTCTGCACCTTAAGAACATCTCAACAACTTGGACACTGGGATCACAACTTACCTTTGAATGGATCTGGTTTGGGTTTAGGGCTTTCCTTCTCTAACAACTCCTGACGCCGTTTCTCAATTTTCTTATTCCTGTTTATGATGTACTCCTAGAAGGATTGAGAGATGCCACCAAATTAAATGGCAACACATTACTCTGGGCATTTCTCAACTGCAGAGTGTAACAAGATGCTATTATGGCAGCTCCATGGGTAAAACCTGCTGTGGTCAGAGCTATTATTACTCTGTGACACAGCAACACGTACAGTAGTTTCAACTTGGGAAAAGAAAATGTATCATGTTTAGGCTTCTCATTCTTCTTAACCTTCTAAAGGGTCTTTACACTTTCAGGGCTGTCTACAAACACTGCAGCATACTTTACCTGGAGAAATTCTACTGTCTTGTCGGGCAGTTTGGTGCTTATAAATCGCAAGGTCTCTTTGTGAAATTTACTTTGCAAATGCTTTTGAATTTCTTCATCTTCAAAGCTACGAAACTTGCATACAGAACAGGCAAACTGAATTCTAGAGAGAACACAGAAAGAAGTCGTAATACAGAGATCACCAGCTCATCTCTGGGTACAGAAATGCAAAAAACCCCACCAGGATTCCTCTTGTCCTTAAAAGAGCTAAGGAGAGCCTCTTCCAGTTTCAGTCTCTCAGGTGTTGAGCCACTAAGCCCAGCTAGGAAACAGCATCAGATAGTAGCATCTGAGCCTTAAGAGCAGGGGTTATAGTCTGGAAAAACTGCTCAGCAACTGACCTCAAGCTTAAAGACCTGCACCAATCTGCAGGTAGAAAAAAAGAACAAATTCCTTCAAACTGTGTTTTGACCTTCATAAGCACGCTATGGCAGATGTGCACTCATACACATAAAAAGGGGACCTCTGACCAGGCAGTGGTGGCGCACGCCTTTAATTGCAGCACTTGGGAGGCAAAGGCAGGTAGATCTCTGAGTTCAAGGCCAGCCTGGTCTACAGAGTGAGTTCCAGCACAGCCAGGACTACACAGAGAAACCTTGTCTAGAAAAAAACAAAAACAAACAAAAAAAGGAGGGAGGAATCCTTTAGGTAAACACATGCCCCACCCCTTGACAATGAAAAATTTTAAGTAATTTGGTCCTGGGAGAAGACTCTATAGGTCAAAAGAGCATTCTTGTTTGATACAAAATCTGGCCAGCAGAATCTCATACACATGTATTCTCAGTCAGCTGAGTCCCAGAGATTGTCTAGATTTGAACAGAGAATCAAGACACTGTCCTACCAGCTCTATAATGACGATCACTTTCTGGGAGGGGATTGTCAATTCAGCAGACAGGGTTGGACATCCCTTGGGTCTGCTGAAGAGTTAGAGAACTCTCATAGTTTTAGCATCCGGGCTCAAATTCCAAAGGTGAGGAAAGATGGTTGTCTCAGAAGTGGATTCTCTAAGCAAGACCAAAGTTAACTAACTGCATCCATCTTTCTCACACTTCTTATCCATTAACCTGGATAAGATTTGATAGCTAGAGTTATAAAACCAAACTCCTGTGCATTACAGAGGGAGGACATGTGACTTGGAGAGCCTGACAGTGCCCAGATCCAAGTGCCTTCAGTGGAGGGTCTTTACCTGCCCGACGGCCTCACCTCACTAGCCCCTCACCTGTCAGCTGCTCGGTCCCGCATTCTGTCTCTTCTCCTTTGTTTCTCCCGTCTCTTCTTCACATCCTCATCCTCATCCTCCTTTTCTCCTGTAACAGAAAGTCCCCTCAAGACACTGAGGAGCCTGCAGGAGAGGTCAGCTCCAGAGCCAAGTTGGATGCTGCAGCTTGGCAGCCACCACACCTTGTGCCCAGCTTCCATTACTTTTGTGGCAGGGCTAGGATAACCCAAGGCATCGAGGAGCTGTTAGAGGTTCCTGATGTACCAGGACCTTTGATGAGAACCCAGAGGAGTTGCCTCACTCCTCCCATGGCCTGATGGGCAGAGGCCCATCCCACTCATGGCCACCTACTCTGTTCTGTCCCAGGCTGCTTGTCCAATATAGCACTTTGTTGTTGGCTCTTCTCCCACATCACTCAAAGAGCTGCATACATCCCCACAGAGGCAGCAGCTGGAAAGCCTCGGGAAATAGAGCAAGCTGCACTGCCACCCTCCGCCCACCTCTAGGTGGGCTGTGGTGACTGTCCTGTTGGCTTCACCTAAACTAGGGACTCAGCAGGTCTGACAGTCCTTGCTGGCCCGATCTCTAGCTTCCACTCACAAAACCAACAACCTTGGACTTTCCCAAGGCTAAGTGGGAAACAATTCTAAAAACAAAAATGGGAAGAGACCAATTGGTCCTCCCATCCATTCCCTGGGGCTGGCAAAGCTCCCAGAAAAGCCCTGTGGCCAGCATCTCAGCATGAGACCACGCCAGAGCCCCAGGCTCAGGGTCGGGGCTGGATGCTGAAAAAAGGTTGGATAAGCATCTGAACTGTAACCCCTACCCCTGATGCCAGTCCCGAGACTGTCCCACGAAGATGGCGACCGGCGTGCGCTGCTCAGAAGCCTCTCAAAAGGACGTGTGGGACTTTTGGCAAGAGGTCACTGCCTGAAACTATGACTGCTGTTTAATAGCAAAGTCATCCCGGTTGGGTAGCAGGACCTGTGCGCAACAAACATGTCACCTTTGCTTTAGCATTTACCCGGCTGCATGAACTGCTGAATGCTGGGGATGATCCCGCGCTATGGACAAAACTTTAATGTGTAGGATGGAGAACATCTAAGGGTTAGCTAACCTGAGAACCTTAAAGGAGCCAAAGGCCTTCTGATTATAAGGGATAAGGGCTAGCCTGTGATCCTTGAGAGTAACCAGGTAGGACAGGTCCACACAACAGGGAGAAAGACAAGTGGCTGCTGGGTGAGCCTAAGGCCTTGCTGCTCAGGCTGATTCTCACCCTTGGGGTATAACCTTTGTTGGGCTCTTAGGTCTCCTGTCCTGAACAAAACCTGTTCAGTGATAACTGCCTTTAGATATGGGCCTGAATACATCTTACAGGCCATCCTCCCATGACTTCAGATCAACCATAGTGGGTATTTGCTCTCTGTCCACAGGTACTAAAGCTGCCAGTATTTCTTGCAGAGGCCAGGGTGGCAAACTGAGGCTCACAACTGAGAAAAAGAAGGGGAGGGGAACCCCAACAAAATAACAAAACTACCCCTGGTGGGAATGAAGAAGACAGGCCAGAAGATGGGAATAGAAAAGGGCCTCTTTCTCTTCAGATTTCTGAAGGTCCTCCCTTTCCTAACACGGGCAACACAGATACCCAGAGATGGCTTTCCTACCTCCTACAACTTGTAACTACTGAGGCAAAGGAACTCCTTTCAAGCAAATCTTGCTCCAAACACTGCAACCAATCTTTGGGGCTAGTCCCCACAGTGTGGGCCCTCTGCACAGCTGCAGATGCTCTGCCATGAACCATGGAGTTCTCCATGAAAAGTCTGTTTTGCTCAGAAGCTGGCTGGGAGCTGGGCAATGAGTGTGAGTCAGATAAAGAAAGATTACAAAAGATACTGGGTGACACCTACCTCTCTGCTTCCTGGAGTCACAGAATTCATCCTCCTGAAAAAGGGCACATAAAATGTCAGGCAGTGAGGTGGAAGTTCTAGAATTCACTCTAACCAGCCCAGGCCCTCATACCTAGTATGTGGTCTTACCATAGACCTTGGCCTGGTATGGTGCTGGGAAATGAGGCAGTACCAGGAAACCTCGAGTCATAGAGTAGGGTTCAAGTGTCCTGCTATAATTTATTGCTATTAGAAGACCATAGAGGTAATTTTTTTTTCTACAGTGACCAACTCAGTTCTCTACAAAGTGACAGAACCTGCCCAATAGCAAAGGCATCCCACACAGTTCTGTACCACAGAAAAAGAGCTTATCCACTGGCAGGGAAAACAGCTCCAGTCTGTGGTATTCTAATTCTAGTACTGATTGGAAACAGGCTTTCCTAAATTTCTAAGTTTGTGTTTAGCATCCTAACAAATTAGTATAAATACAGATCCTAGGATTCTCTAAGCAGAGTCAAAGCCTTGGGGAGGTAAGTCTACGAGATCTATCTACAAAGACTTCTAGCCTCCAGACCCATGTCAACTGAATGTGGAGCAAGAACTATTCTTAGAAGAGCTTCAGAGCTGTTGGTAGTAGGTGGGTGGGAGCACTCGGAGAGCACGGTTGAAACCTTGGATTCTACCTACCACCTGCCGCCCCAAAGAACAAAGCTATCCTGTCAGCCTACCCGTACCTGGATCTCCACCTGAACGCTCCAAGTACCCAGAGGAAACCTTCTGACACCTTGTGCATTCCTCAGGAATGTAGTATGGCCCAAGACGAGCCTTCGCTGACACTCCCTGGCGACTGGGTATTAGGACAAGAGGCTAGACAGGGTCATCAGCACTCGGCAGAACCCCACCATTAGAAGGCTGATGGCTAGACTCACTGTAAGGCAAGGGAACTGGTTTGGGAGCTTTAAGAAAGAGAACAGTGTGTGCCGGGCGGTGGTGGCGCACGCCTTTAATCCCAGCACTTGGGAGGCAGAGGCAGGAGGATTTCTGAGTTCGAGAGTTCGAGGCTAGCCTGGTCTACAGAGTGAGTTCCAGGACAGCCAGGGCTACACAGAGAAACACTGTCTTGGAAAAAAAAAAAAAAAGAGAACAGTGAATGATATATATCCCTGGGAGACCTCTTTTCAGAAGGGAACAGGAGGAATGGATCTGGGGAAGAGGAGGAGAGCCTGGGGGGGGGGGGGAACTGAGAGGGAAGAGAAGCTTCCTTTGGGATGCAATGTATGAAGAATTAAAAATAAGCAAACACAAGAACAAAACAGTTATTATAGAATGTATACAAAAGGTATGTGGTTGATTCAAACAAAATGGCTACTTTCACCTCTGTGAGGGGGAAAAAAAAAGAAGAAAGCAAACCCAGAGACAAACAGAATCTGTGAAGGGAAACTTACCCCCCTGAATTCTTCATCTCCTGACCGTAAGTCACCAGCTCCATCATCTGCCAGATACAAGGCAGTGTCAGCCCCAAGGTGGACGGCTCCCAGAGCATGTCCACATCCCCAAGCTCAGTGACCAGACTGACAACGGGCTTCCTCAGCTGTGGCAGTGTTAGCCAAACAATGCCACCTCCATCCAGAGCAGGTAATTGACTCACATCATACCCCCCTGGCTCAGTGATACCGCAGAGCATACCGTTTTCAGATACATCTCCTTCACTGTCAGCACGGGCCAGTTTAGCATCAGGTTCTTCATACAATGGAAACTGTTTCCGCTTCCTGCCCATGTTGTCTGGTCCAAAGCGTTCAAACCCTCTCCTCCTGGGCTACAGACACAAACACATGTCATGTACTGCTAGCCTGGGCCTGTCCATGTCCCACAAATAAAGATCAGCATTGTAAGGACAGACAACAAAGGCAGGAAAAAGCCATCAAAAGAGCAAGAGAGACTATAACAGGAGTCCAAAAGCCCATGTCATGCTTGAAGGAGCCAGACATACAAAGCCGCATGCCTGACTCTATTGCTGTGAAATATCTCCAACAGGTCAACCCAGGGCTAGAGAACCGATGAGCTAATGGAGAAATCTAAAACAAAGTGGTGTGAGCTTACTGAAATTGGGACTGTACACTGGGAAATAAGTAAGGGCATCTAACAGTAAACAGAAGTACACAACCTTCACCTCAACAAAGTTGTTAGAAAGAAAAGGCAACAAGGCCTGACAGAAATTGGTGAACTTACCCAATCCCGTATCCGAGTCTGGGACCGGCCACATCCATAAGGCATGGTGCTACCAAAACCACCCACCCCTTGCATGCCCACCATGCTGTAGTCAGGGGCCATGGACTGGGAGAAGAGGGAAGGAGGTGGCCTGTTGGTGGAGGGCCCACCTAGACCACGTCCACCCATGTAGTTCAGCTCATTCCAGGTAGTGGATAAGGGCTCCGAGGGGGCTGAGGGTGGCATGAAGGGGTCACTTCGTAGGAAGGTGCTGGAGCTGCTCCGGTCCTGGAAGCGGCCTTGGCCTCGGCCCCTCAAGAAACCATCAAGGGAGCCCCGCTCTGGGGTTGGATCCCGACAGTCGTTGAATGTCCCACCAAAGCTACCATTGCGGTCAGTTCCCAAGTCAAAGTCATACTCATAACTGTAGCTGGGACGGTAGGGATTATGCTCAGGTATACAGGGCCTGGAGTCATAGGACTCGTATGGCTGGAAGCGGAAGGAGCTGCAAAGGAAGTATACAATCCATTAGGAGCAGCCTAAGCCATCCAGGTTACCCAATAATTTGCCCTCAGCCTAACTAAGGTGACTCCCTTACATTCAGAACAAGAAACCACTCCACACGGGACCTACGTAAATGCCCTGAAGGCAAATTAGTCTCAGAACACTCATTCAACCACTGCTAACAAAGAAGGAGCATGAAGCCCATGCCACAAGAATCTTTGGTTAACTTACTTGGCCAACAGTTTAGAAAACTGTCAATGAAGCCCTCCCCACAGGACCCAACTTCTGCCTAATACAGGAACAGGAAAGAGGGCTTTCTAAAAGAGTTGGTACCCATTCCCATGATTCCAGAAAGGGATTCCACCAGGAAAGAATGAAGGCCATAATCACCTGTCTCGGTCCTGCATGCCCTCCCCACCGCTGCTGATCCCACCCCTGCCTCCTTCCTTGGACAACATGTCCAGACGTTGATTGATCTTGGCAATGAGCGAGTCAGAGTTGTCAGTACATGGCTCTGGGGCAAAAGAGGCCACATGCATGGCAGAGCTCCCAGCTGCCAGGCCACCATCACTGGTCTTGGTGGCCTCCCATGAGGCTGGGCCATAACTATAGGGTGTTCCTGCAGGGACACTGGTGTTCTGGGCGTTGTAGTAGTTGTAGTTTTCATAACCTATCAGAAGAAAGAAGAACCATGTTAGGCCTCAGCACACGAGGCTAGCCATGACACTCTTGCCTGCAGACGCACTCTCTGCCCACCAAGAAGGAAATATGGAGCCAAGCATCACCGACGTCATACCACAATACACATGTGATCAAGACCAGAGACAAATGGCCACAGGTTGTAGTAGCAGGTTTTCTTTAAGATACAGAAAAACTTGTTTCCTAATCAAAGCCGGAGGTGGCTAAGAACCTCAGAATAGCAATTCCAGGTACTGACAAAAACATTTGAAAACTGTTCCTGCACTGTATCCACAATCCCTCTCAAACAAATTCAAATTCCCCTTCAGGTTAGCCTAGCTCTGGCACGCCTCAGGGCCCAGATGCCTTTATTATCCATGCTATCAACAGAGCTGTGTGCATAGCCAGGATGGGAAAATGGGGACCTGTACCTCAGCCCCTCTGGATGGCTGTTTAAAGACTCACTTGCCCACCTCAAGATCCCCTTCAGAAGGTCTTACCTTGCCAGCTGGCCATACCACCTCCATATGTACCTTAGGAAAAACAAAAACACATAAGCACTTCAACGCCAGAGTTACCTAAGGACAGGTGTCACCTCACTGCACTAGAAGACAGGGTGTGACTGGCAGTGGTCTTTATTTAGCATGCTCATGTTTTACGAAATGGGTACAAAGCACCATTACCATTTCTCTCCCTGGCAACCCTGACTTCTCCCATGAAAGCAAGGAAAAGAAAGGTACAGAGTAATTCCCAAGATGATCTACACAACAATATCAACTGAGAGAACCGTTCAGCCGGTACCTTGGAAAGATCCTCCTCTGTAAGCTCAGTTCTCACCAGGAGCCCAAACCCAGTCATTCCCAATCATACTCTCAACTGAACAAGAGCATATTGTGTAGCAAAGGTACCTTGGAAACCTCCTCATGGAGCCTTTGTCCCCTGGAACGGAGCTGAGTGTGGGGCAGGTTCCAGACTCAAAAAATAAGAGTAAAAACCTAGGCCACATCTAGTCTACTGTCTGCTTCTGTTTATTTCTTGAGTTAAAAATAGGTTTTCTCTCTCTAAATGGTCATAGGAAAGTACCTCAAAACAACAAAAAGAAAGTTCCACAATATGCTAAACATAAGAATGCACAATTTGAGCCGGGCGGTGGTGGCACACGCCTTTAATCCCAGCACTTGGGAGGCAGAGGCAGGCGGATTTCTGAGTTTGAGGCCAGCCTGGTCTACAGAGTGAGTTCCAGGACAGCCAGAACTACACAGAGAAACCTTGTCTCGAAAAACCAAAACCAAAACCAAAACAAAAAAACTGCACAATTTGTGCACATAGACTAATAAGAGGTGGATGGGTGCTACTGAGGCCCAGTCCTGGGACCCCTTGCATGCTACACATACAATCAAAATCTGAGTTCCTCTCAGATTTTAAAAGAAACTGTGGTAGTATGGTAGGAGAGTGATTCAGGGAGCATTCTATTTACTAATCAGCCTCTGCTCCCTGTAAGTACTCAATAAACTATTTTTCCTTTAAAAAGAAAGAAAGAAAGAAAGAAAGAAAGAAAGAAAGAAAGAAAGAAAGAAAGAAAGAAAGGAAGAAAGAAAGGCAAAATGTACCGAGGTGAAGGCAGGTGTTGGGCTCTACTCCAAAGGGACACATAGTGGAGAGAAGTTATGATTCAACCTATTAAGCAGAAACCACTTACCCTGGGTGTTGGCAGGTCCAGCACTCCATGCCCCATAGCCTGTGAAAAGATCATGTGTCAAGATTCTATCTATCGCCTGGCACTGGTGGTGCACACCTTTAATCCCAGCACTTGAGGCAGAGGCAGAGGCAGAGGCAGGCGGATTTCTGAGTTCGAGGCCAGCCTGGTCTACAGAGTGAGTTCCAGAACAACCAGGGCTACACAGAAAAACTCTCGGATATCTGCCTGCCTCTGCCTCCCAAGTGCTGGGATTAAAGGTGTGCACCACCACTGCCCGGTGGGATTTCTCTTTTCAGAAGTGACAACTTACAACGAGGGGATGCTGCTCCCAACCCCAAAGGCACACTTTTACACTTTACCTGGCTGAGCTGACATCAAAGCAAAAAAATAGGGGAAGGAAACCAAGTTTGGAGGACACAGCATTAAGTCTATTGGCCCAGCCACCACATAAGTGGCAAAACTCAGACTACTGTCAGAAATACCACAAAACCAGGAAACAAGCTGGGATATTTGGTGCCATAAACATTAGGGATGCTTCCATGTAACTAAACACTCAATGCCCTGGCTTTCAAGCCTCCATCTGACCTATGACACCATCCCTCCAACACCCATTTGGACAGAGGGGGATTACATTCTCTTCATTTGTGTTCCTGGAGCCTAGCACATAGCTTAGCAGTGGCACAGTCCCAGGCTGTCAAATGACTTCACTTTGACAGTGAGAATGGTTATCTCCCTTTCCAGAATTTCCAAAACCCACCTCTCTAACACAGTCCCTTAAATGTGTTAACAGTCACTCAGCAAGTACCCCCATACCTAATTGCTACTTAGAAACCAGAGAGGCTGCAAATACTCTCTGCATCTGTAAAGTTATTGGCAGGTAGAAAGTGGGAGTCACCATTAAGTTCTCTAGCCCAAGGAAGTAAAGCAAGGTTGTGACAGGTATCTGGTTCTAGAAAGGCTAAGAATGGAAGACGTAGATCTAGGATCCCAAAAAGGCAAAGAGTGCTAGGCTGTACCTTAAAATACCCAAGCACACGTGTTCATCACACCTCAGGCCTCTCTGGCAAGTCCAGTTCTAGGGATCTTGTTATTCTACTGCCTCTCAAGACCCCTTCCTTAGCTGCCAGAAGCCACTAACCAATCCCTGTGCCCACTTTCAACCCCATTCCACATGTTCCAACTATCTCCTCTCCTGTAGATAATTTCCGTACAGAGTCAAGGCATCCCAGGAGAGGAGATTGAAAGCAGATAACTCGAGAAACAAAGCCTAATTGCAAAAAGATGCTAAAATTTAGGTTAGGAAAGGCAGCGTTCCCGCTTCCGCAGACCCTTTGGTCCCTCCAGACCACCATAATGTTACAGTCAAGAATTCCAGTCCCTTGGGCAGCACACCTCCCATGGGCACCACCCGCTGTGTGCACTGCAGAAACCCAGCTAAGTTTTCCCGAGGAGCTGCACCGGGTGTTGCCGCAGTGCACAGCTGGGCTGATCGCGCGCTGCCCGAAAGTCTTCAGAAAAGCCAGCCCAGTGGACACGCGCTCTCAAGGACGACCTGCTGAGGATGAGCTCTCAGATTCTCTCCTCGCGACGGCTGCCGCAGATCCAGCCGGACTCACCCCCTCGCATTCCCCCAGCGCTCGCTTTAGCCACGCCCCTGGGGCCGCCATTTTGTGGCGTCTTCGGAAGGGAAGGCGGGACTGAGACCGCCAGGGTCGTCCGGTCCGGGCGGCGAGGAGAGCCATTCGGCTTGCACGGTGAAAGCGGCCCAGGGCACATCCAGAAACCCTCCACAGCGTCGGCCTCCGCGCCTCATCCGCACCCCCCGCCCCGAGTCCTACCGGCCAATCCACACGCGGCGCCTCGGGAACGATTGCGCAGAGGCCCAATAAGGGAAGCGCGCGTGTCCGCGCCGCCTCTACACAACCGGGCTGCGGCAAGTGCGTTCTGGCTGCAGGCTAAGCCCGAAGACTACATGCGGCAGCGTCTCCCATGGTGCAGAATAGCCCATACTAACCTCCGTAGCCTTGCTCCATGTCTCCGACGCGACCCGCCAGCAGATCCTTTTCTTAGCTTCCCTCAGAACGCATGCGTTCAACGTGCTGTCTGCTACTGGAAGACGAAGACCGTACGTCTCTCCTTCTGGGCGCTACCATTGGTTGCTCAAGTGGGCCCGCCCCCGCCGACACTCCTAGCCTTCCGGGTTGCAAATCTACAGCATCTCGGGAATTGTGCCTCAAGGGTAAGCTAGTGCGCAAGAGCGTTCAGGTCCGCGCACGCGTGAGCAGTTCTAGCATTTACTCGCACGCAGGCGTACTTAGTGTCGGGAAACTTCCAGGGACCCGCCTTCACCATTCACAACACAAACTGAGACCTCGAGTGGGAAAGCACTTTATTAGGCTGGACTTGCAGCTTCAGCTACGCGAGCCCTGCCCGGTAAGTGTTATGGACCCCCACCGCCCTCCTCGTCGTCTTCCACGTCGAGGCCAGGGATCCCGCGGATCTGGCACTGCAGCGCCCCGCCCAGCAAGGGTACTGGGCTCTCCTCTTCTGGTGGTGGCGGAGGTGGTGGTGTTGCAGTCCCTGGGGCGGGCTCCAGGGGCACCGGAGGCTGTGCTGGCATGCCCTCTGTGAGCCCTGTCGCTTCACTTGGTGCCCCTTCATCCAGAGCGCCAGCCTCCACCTCGTCTTGTTCCTTCTCCTCCTCCGGGTTGTCAGTGAAAGGATTCTCGCCCTGTGGAGAGTTGATAGAAACCTTAATGGGAAGAAAGAATCACAAGGACAGTATGGGGACCAGGCTCACACAGAGGTCAGAACTAGGGCGGCGCTTTCGCCTTTGCCTCACCTTCAGATATCGCTCCAGCTTCTTGCTAATGAGCTTGTTGTTGAGAATACTGCGGGCCACCATAAGAGAGGACTTCTTGGACTGCTCCATCATGAGCTATGGGGTAGGGCAAACAGGGCTGGTGAGGCTGCTCTAGAAATCCAACAAACCCAGCTGAGGTTCTTTTTTTTTTTTTTTTTTTTGGTTTTTTCGAGACAGGGTTTCTCTGTGTAGCCCTGGCTGTCCTGGAACTCACTCTGTAGACCAGGCTGGCCTCGAACTCAGAGATCCGCCTGCCTCTGCCTCCCAAGTGCTGGGATTAAAGGCGTGCGCCACCCAGCTGAGGTTCTTATTCACCAATAACTAGACCTAGTGTCTGTAAGTGCACCTTGGGACAAACATGCAAAGAACTAGGATGTGATCTGATCATCCACACCATAGTTGCTGTTTGAAACCTAAGAGCTGGACTGAGTGACACAGGCCGTAATTCCAGGGCATTCAAATGGAAAGCCTACCTGGAGTTTAAAGGCAACCTGGACAACTTTGATTATGTCTCAGAAAATAAAAGATGGCTGGGGCTAGAGAGATGGCTCTAAAGGTAAAAGTACTTGTTAGAATTTCAAAGACTCAGGTTCAATTTCTGCCACCCAGAAGGTGGCTGACAATTTCTAATTCCAGGGAGTATGAGGCCCTCTTCTGGTTACCACAGGCACCAGGCACGAGCATAGTGAGCATACATACACGCAGGCAAAACATATGAAAAATAAAATGTTAAAAAGGGGAGGGGCCATCTGGAGATAATAGTTTGGTGACAGAGTGCTTTCTTAGGGTTTTTTTTTTTTTTTTTTTTTTTTTTTTTGGTTATTTGAGACAGGGTTTCTCTGTGCAGCCCTGGCTGTCCTGGAACTCACTCTGTAGACCAGGCTGGCCTCAAACTCAGAAATCCGCCTGCCCCTGCCTCCCAAGTGCTGGGATTAAAGCCATCACTGCCTGGCCCGGCCTTTCTTAGTATTCTTAAAGCCCTAGGTTCAATCCCCAGATACACACACACCACCCGGTATAGTAAAACCTATTAAAAGTAAAATGTAGGGCTAGGATTGGTGGCACACACCTTTAATCCCAGCACTCAGGAGGCTGAGGCAGGTGGGCAGATCTTCCCGAGTTCAAGGCCAGCTTGGGCTACTGAGCAAGTTCCAGGATAGCCAGGGCACAGAAAAACCTTGGCGCCCTACCCCATTCCCCCCCACCCCCGGAAAGAAAAAAACCTACAACAACAAAAATTGTAAAATATAAAAACAATAAAAGATCTGGCAAGATGATTCAGTGGGTAAAAAGCACTTGTTACCAAGCTTGGCAAATTGAACCCAATTCCAAGGTTACATACGATAAAGGAGAGAAAACCATCTCCTTGCAAGTTGTTCTTTGACTTCTACACATGCTACCACTCACACATGCAGGCACCTAGGAGTAAATTGCCCTAGTACACAAGGAGATTGTTTAGAACCAATAAGGAGGGTATACAATCAGCCCTAGCAATGCATAACTGTAAGCCCAACACTTAAGAGGAAGAGAGGACTATTGCAATTTCAAGGCCACTCTGACCTATCGAGTAAATTCCAGGACAGCTTGAACTACATAAGACTGCCAAACAAAACGAGAATACAGATGAAACTATATTTAAATGTTGTGCATCCTTCTAACTCACAGGATTTGGACATGAAGAAACATATAATGGTAAGGTTGAAAAGAGACACTTCTCTACTGGTGAAACAATTGGTGACAGACTCAAAAAGCTGTTTGATGGAATACACCAGAAATACAAATTTGCCTCAGTAATTCCTATCTCAAAGTGTAAGAACTAGAAATAAACCAGGGCCTGCTGGCAGGGTATAAAAGACATGAGATGCAGTGTGAAGCCTGGGCCTTTTGTTTTGTTGAGACAAGGTCTTGCTATGGTAGTGTAGGGTGCTCTGGGACTTGTTTGGTTGTTTTGGAATTATTTTTTGTTTGAGATATTTTGTAGGCCAAGCTGTCTTGAGCTGAGTTTGTAGTCCATGCTGGTCTCAAATTTGTGGCAATTTTCCTGCTTCAGCCTTCCAAGTGTTGGGACTACAAGAACATTAGACCATGCCTGGTTTATAAACTGGCTCTGAACTTGTGATCCTCTTGATCTCCTAATGCTGGAATTGTAGACCTGTACTATCACATCTGAGTCATTCTGTCTGAAAGACTGCATCAACATGCTTCATCATTTCTTCAGTCATAGGAGTACAGACATGATTATGAAACCAAAGAAAGAATGAAAGGGAGTTAGGACTCTCTTTCCAGCATCAGTGGCCCAGGGCTCAAACACAGGTTTGCCAATAGGGTTGGCAACAAGTACTGAGTTAGCCACTGAGCACTTCACTAGACCTCACGGTTTTCTTTATACATTTTATCTATTAATAGACTGAATATTCTCAAGTAACAGATTAAGGTAAAGAATTCGAATACTACTACAGTTCCTCAGTAATTTTCACTGGCCAACACACTGTCCTTTTTTTACCCCTCTGTGTGTCCAGAAGTTGAACAGAAACAGCAGTTTCCAGATTTTGGTCACAATGACCAAACATGAAAAATACTTAAAAAAAAAAAAAAACACCCAACATATATACTTTCAGGTTGGTGCTTTTAATTCTAACCAAGTGAGTATCCCAAATGATAGTGCTTAATTATCCAGTGCTTGCTTGACCTTGCTCCAATAGTGACTTACACTTACTGTGCCAGCATTGAAACAACCAACTATACAGCACCCAGGCAGAAAATAGTCTGATCTGGTCAGTTAGAACACATCTGTAGTAATAGCTACTATAGCAGAAGCAGAGACAGATCAGGTAAACTCAAAGCTTCAAGGTCAGGACAGGCAAAACAGATTCCTCTTACCTGCCTCTTCTCAGCATTGGTTGTTATATTTTTGCTGTGAGATAAAAAGAATGTTTGCTCTTCTGGTGTCATTGCCCTGGCTGTCAGTAACCCTGAGTACTCTGATGTACACACTGGAAATGACTGTCCAGAATTTCTGTAACCCAAGCCCCCTTGACTTCTAGATTGCCTCGCCTGCTTAGGTAGATTTCTTTGAACAGTCAAGGTAAACAAATGATCTAATTTTCTTCCTAGTCTTCTAACTATTTATTTTTTAACATTTAAATATCCTAGAATTTAATACATGGTATGTAGTAAATTTATAAAATGTGCCAGTATTTTCTTACTAAACGAACATATAGGGCTATAATCCTTTTTTTTTTTTTTTAATTATTTTGGTTTGGTTTTGGTTTTTAGAGACAAGGTTTCTCTGTATAGCACTACTGCTTCTGGTTGTTCTAGAACTCCCTCTGCAGACCAGGCTGGTCTCAAACTCAAGAGATCTGCCTGCCTCTATCTTCTGAGTATTGGGATTAAAGACTTGTGCCATCATTGCCTAGCAATCCTTTATTTTATTTTTTTAAAAAAATACATTTAAAATAAAATCCAGGACTGAAGATGTAACTTGGTAGAATAATGGCATAGCATATGCAAGACCCTACCTAGACTTGATTTCAGTACATACTCATACCTCCATAAGAACTCTAGAGAACAAGTTTTCTTCTCAGTCATTTGGTGGCTAAATGTAAGCCAAGATTAGGTTTTTATTCCACCTTTATTTATCCTTGACGAATTACTCAGTATTAAACTATAAGGTACTTTGCCAGATCCCAGTGGAGGTTAGTATAATACCAGATTGGTTTTCTGAAACCCAAACCTCCTGGCCCAAATGATTTCTGAGACATACTGGGATCTTGCTAGACTGTCTGGTTGCACTGTTTTTGTTGTTGTTTGTTTGTTTGTATGTTTTAGTTTTTTTTTTTTTTGAGACAAGGTTTCTCTGTACAGCTCTGGCTGTCCTTGAACTCAAAGATCAACCTGCTTCTGCCTCCCTAGTGATGGGATTAAAGGCATGGGCCACCACCACCAGGCTTGGTTGCACTGTTTTATCACTGGCCAACATCAGCTTTTTTTTTTTTTTTTTTTTTTTATTAAATTGTATTGGCTTTGCAGTAAGTTTTTAATATCTGCTAAGCAAGTTCCTGAACTCAAAACTGACCTTTGTGTTTTTGGCCACTGTTAGACATCCATTTTTTTGTGTATCTTAACTCCTATCCCCCTTACTACATTCACTAACTTTGAGATCATTTTGCTATAATCATTCAGCTTCTCTAAGAATGTTACTACAGACCTGGCAAGATGGCTTCAATGGGTAAAGGTTCTTACTACCTACCAAATCTAGGGACTTCAGTTCTATCTCTAGAACCCACATGATAGAAGGAGAAAGCTTAACTCCCAAGAAAGTTGTCCTCAGACTTCCACATGTATGGAACAAGTATGCATGCATACCAGCACATATAAATAAACAAAAGAATAAATGTAATTAAAAAAAATATTGTCACTTTCCCTCCCAGTATTTTTTTTCCCCGAGACAGGGTTTCTCTGTGTAGCCCTGGCTGTCCTGGAACTCACTCTGTAGACCAGGCTGGCCTCGAACTCAGAAATCCACCTGCCTCTGCCTCCCAAGTGCTGGGATTAAAGGCATGCGCCACTACCGCCCAGCTCCCTCCCAGTATTTTATTCTAAGAATGCTGCTAGATTCTTGAGTCATCCTTGCAGACCAGATACAAGACTAATTATAATTTACTGTGTTTAAATTACTAGTAAATTGATATTTATCTTTTCTTTTCACACCTTCATATCTTCAATAATAATCTGATCTATAACTTCATCTTGGTATTATCTTTTTCTGATCTTTGGAATTAAAATTTAAAAGGCTTCATAGGTGGTGTAATAGGCAGATGCCTGTAATCCCAGCAGTTGGAAAGTATGGGCAGGGGAACTGAGACTTGAAGGCCAGCCTAGGCTACATTGTGAGATTCTATCGTAACCAAAACCAAAACAAACAAGCAGTGGCTGGGAGATGGCTCAGTCAGTAAAGTGCTTGCTATATAAGCATGGGAACCCGAGTCCAACCTTTAGATGCCATATAAAAAAGTGGTTGTGGTGGTATGTGCTTATAATCCCAGCACAGGGAAGTAAAGACAGGCTGGTCCCTGGGGTTTGTGGGCCCTCTAACTTAGACTACTTGGTGGGTTCCAGACCAGTTAAGCAAAGGTCAAAAGAAGGGAGAGAGGGTTCATAGTGACATAGTGAGAATCAACATCCTATGGTTGTCTTCTAGCCTCCAAAGCACATGGACTATATGTGCAAACTTCTATATCTCCCAACACACACACACACACACACACACACACACACACACACACACACACACACACAGAGACACACACGGGGGGGAGGGGGTGCAGCATGGCAGTCTGAGGGGGGGTTCTGGGGCTCCACTCTCTACTGAGACTGATGAGAGTTAAAGACAGACCTCCCATTTGAAGTACCTGGAACTGTTCCCAACGACAAACAGTAGATGAAGAACTGCTTAATAAAGAAAAGATACTTTGACCCAGTGACTGCAACAACTGCATTTCTCTTCCTGCCTCTGCTACTGATTGCTGAGGCTCAGTTCTAGATGCAGACATAATAGCTTAGTTGCCATACAAGAACCCAGGCTTGCCTTACTGCACAGCATGCCAAGAATACAGGGACCCACATATTCTTGTTCATAAAGGGCCCAGATGAGAGAGAGGGAGAGAAAAGCCAAGAGAATGAGACTCTAGCCAGTTCACATCCACTCATCTCCTTCCTTGGTTCAAATTGTTTGTCTTGGGATGGCTGCATCTTAGAACAGTGAACTCTCAGTATCTCCCCCAAAGGAATAGACTTCATACCTAAGAATGAAGGTCTCTCTTAAGCAAATGGAGAATGTGGAGAAAAAGCTGGAGGACTAGAGAGTAATATAAACTGAACTAAAGACTGGCTCTATCGCCACCAAACAAAACAAACAGGTTAATCAGCCAACCGCAACCCAGAACAAGGGCTAAGAGCAGCCTCCCCGGATTGAAAGTAAATCTCAAACAATCTCAGAAACTATCCCTCTAAGAAGTCTCATCTGAGGTAAATGGGTACTGAGGCTAAACTCAAGGTGTCAATACATGCTAGAGAAACATTTCTACCACTAAGCCACAGCTCAGGCCAAGAACCAGGATTTAACCAAATCAGATAGAGTGCAAGTTAAATTTTAGGACACTGCTAAGAACAAAAGAACAGTAGGCAAGAAATTAATATAGTGCATTAGTTGGTGTGGCTAGGAAAAGATAGGAGGTGACTTAAAACCACCCCAGGTGATTCATAGTGTCCCAGGGTAGCAGTAATATGCCAATAGGTTCCTCCCTCAAAGGACAACATCAGACTCTCACTGCAGGGATGAAAGGGACTTCACTAGTAGATATATCTCTAAAGAATTTGGCTCATCCTAGGAATGTAGCTTAGTGGTGGAGTGCTTGTCTAGAATGTACAAGGCTTGGAGTCTAATTCCCAACACCCATAGAAAGGAGAAAAACAACAGAATTTGGCTAGTCATTAAATCATACAAATAAGCAAATAGGTTAATAAGTTGCTACATATGTGGAGGGTCAAGTCATTATGTGATTTCTAAGACATCTAGATTATAAGATAGTCAAAGGAAATGGACCCATATTAAAGATAACAAAACAAAATTAAAAACAGTAGTGACTGGATGTCAGTTTCTTCATCATATAGCCCTGGCTGTCCTGGAACTCACTCTATAGACCATGATGGCCTTGAACTCGGAGACTCACTGACCTCTGCCTCCAAAATGCTGCAGTTAAAAAGGCATTCACCACCACTGCCCTAAGTAGCTCTTCTTACAGTTATTTGATACAGTTGTTTTTCTTACTGTAACTGAAAGATAATTTGAGTACTCATTCACCAAAATGGGCATCACCACCACCTGGCAGTGTCATCATACTTCAAAGTGGTAATTAAAAACACATTTAGTCTGGGCTTGGAGGTAAAGGTAGGTAGTTCTCTGTGAGTTTGAGGCAGCTTAGTTTATAATAACAAATTCCAGAGCAGCCAAAGCTACACGTGAGACAAAGTAAACCAAACCAAACCAAAAAGCAAACAAAGCCACCACATTTAAAGAACATGGACTATCGACAGAGATGTAGTAATATCTTTTTATAAAAGCAAACTAGATCTCAGAAAAAAGAGAAGTGTAACAGAAACAAAGCATTCAGCAGAGGGGTTCAACAGCAGATGTAAACTGAACAAGCCTGTAGGTCGAATATCACAGTACAGGGTTCAACTTTCATTTCTCTTTCACTGAAATGGACTAAAGGCTTGACAGTGTGGATGTGAATTAACATGTGCTTGTTTGTTTGTTTCTTTAGTGGAGATCAGAGGACATTCCACGAGTGGCTTCTTCCCTTCCACCATGTGAGTCCCAGGTATCCAATTCAGCAACTGCCTTTCTTTACCTGCTGAATCGTCTTGCTGGCTCAACAGTGAGAACTTAAGAAGGCAGGTATCGACTCAGTAACTCCCACCTTGTTTTTCCCTCTTGTTCTATTTCTTTCCTTCTGAATTAGCCTTGAGTCTTTCTTCCCTACAATTATTGGATCATAGTTAAGACAATGAACCAGACATCTTTTTGGCACCAACACGGCAGATCCTAAAGTAATGGCTGGTCGTGGTCAGATCAAGATGATGATATGGATTAATAAAGTTCCTAGTGCTTGCTTTTGTTCATCTTTCTTTCTTTTTTCTTTTTTTTTTTTTTTTTTTTTTGGTTTTTCGAGACAGAGTTTCTCTGTGTAGCCCTGGCTGTCCTGGAACTCACTCTGTAGACCAGGCTGGCCTTGAACTCAGAAATCCACCTGCCTCTGCCTCCCAAAGTGCTGGGATTAAAGGTGTGTGCCACCACTGCCCGGCTCATCTTTCCTTTTAGAAACTAAGACCACTGTAAGTACTGTTTGTCCACAGCAGGGTAATCAAACTGTCAATAAAACTCCTTTCCTGCTTTCCACACTGTTTGTCTCTTTGATTGGCTTCCTAGGACAAATGGCTGAGCCTAGTTCATTGGTATTCCCTGTGCTTGGGACTTTTGTTCTAACTCAGGCAACAATTATATACCATCTAAAGAACAGAGAGAAAAAACAGTGAAGAAAAATGAATTATCTTAGACAGCATTAAGTTACTCAATATAATGTATAGTGACAGAATAAGAAGGAATAGAAAAAAAAGTCTAAAAGCTTCCCAAGACTAATGAAAGCTTTAATCTACACAACAAAGAAGCCCTGTGAACTCCAAGAAGAGTAAACACGGATACCTAAAAAGGATGCATCATAACTCACAACACCAAAAACCCAAGATAAGAAAAAAACTTGGAAGCAAATAAAACCTCACTTGCAAACAGATGTCTCATCAGACAGGTGAAGCCAAAAGACAATAAGAACAACACAACAGAAATACTTTAAGAAAACAATTGTCAAGTTGGCCCAGAGGAGGATTCGGATTTGTAGACCAAGCTGGGCTTAACTCACAGAGCTCCACCTGCCTGTGCCTCCCAAGGGCATGCTACCATAACAGGTATAAATCATGTTCTCAAAAACACTGGTGAAAGGAAAGATTAAAAACAAACAAAAAGCCCAAAATAAAAGAAAAAGACTCATAACCATCAATTAGAAGACAATACTACAAGACTAACACTCTATCCATTGGACGAAGAAGCAACAAACACAATGTTGATAATAGGATTTCCCCAAATCATTTAAAAACACAATATAATTTTATCACAGTACCAGCTTGTTTTTTTCAGAGAAAATGACAAGTTAATACTAAAACTAAACAGCATACAATAACAGAATCAATACTGAAAATAATGTTGGGCACATTACACATTCTGAATTTAAATTTAATCATGAGGCTACAGTACAAAGGCAGAATAAATTCCAAAACATGGGCAGAGACACAAAGAATAATTCCAATTCAAGGCTAGCCCAAGTTATAGAGTGAAACCTCTCAACAACAACAAATAAACAGGTAAGTCCTTTGTCCCCACTCCCCAAAAAAGAACCAAACACAATGGAATGGAATTTAGAGTCCAGAAATAAACCCATATAGTTATGGTCAACTGACTTTCTACACAGGGCAAAGGTCATTTACTGGGGGTAAGAACTGTGTCTTTCAAGTAGTACTGGGAAGACTGGATATTCTACGCAAAAGAATGAAATTATGTCCCCACCTCATATGGTAAAACAATTAAATGGATTAAAGCCTAATTGTAAAAGCTGAAACCAGAAAATGCAAGGACTAGGCACAGTGGCTCACATTTGGAATATCAGCACTCAAGAGGCAGAGGCAAGAAGACTGCCATAAGTTCAAAGCTAGCCCCTCTACACAGCAAGTTCTAGGCCAACCAGAGACACATACATAGTGAGACATCATCTCAAAAAGGAGGAGTGGGAAGTGGTGGAGTTCCTTCATGACCTTTGTTTAATGCATTTTCAGATAATACATTCTAAGCATAAATAATAAAAGGTAAAACCGAGTATATTTTATCAAAATTAAACACCCAAAAGGCTGGCTATGAGAGTGCATGCCTATAATCCAAATACTCAGGTGGCTGAAGCAGGAAGATCTTCAGTTCCAGCCCACATAGGGGCAGCCAAACAAATTTCAGGCCAGCCTGATCTACATTGTGAGATCATTCCTTAAAACAGCTGAGAATGTTGCTCAGTGGTTAAATGCTTGCCTATATGTACAAAGTTGTAGGTTTGTCTCAATTCCAGTATTGCAAAATGCAAGACAAAACAAAACAAAAAAAAAAAGCATTTGTGAGGGGCTGGAGAGGTGGCTCAGGAGTTAAGGGCAGGCACTGCTTTTTCATATCAGGTAGCTCTAGTGCCAGGGGATCTGATGCCCTCTTCTGGATTCTACAAAAACCTGCATTCACCTGTACATGATTCAAGAAAGTGAAAAACAGCTGGGCATCGTGGTGCATGCCTTTGAATCTGGTACTTGGTAACATGAGGCAGGCGGATCTGAGGCCAGACTTGTCTGTCTACATGGCAAATTCAAGAGCAACCAGTGCTGTATAATGAGAACCTGTCTGGAAAAAATGAAGTGGAAAACCCCATAGGATGGGAAAAATACTTGCAAATCTTATCATACAAGTGACGTATGTCTCAAATATAAAAGAATTATAAGACGGGAGATATAGCTTAATAGGGTGCTAGCTTAGCATGGACAAGGTACTAAGTTTAATCCTCAGCAATGTAAATGAACAAAAAGCATTAAAAAGCAACACCAAAAACCTCTAATAATTGAAGACAATACATTTTTTTTTTTTTTTGGTTTTTCGAGATAGAGTTTCTCTGTGTAGCCCTGGCTGTCCTAGGACTCACTCTGTAGACCAGGCTGGCCTCAAACTCAGAACTCCGCTTGCCTCTGCCTCCCAAGTGCTGGGATTAAAGGCGTGTGCCACCACTGCCCGGTGACAATACAATTTTTAAATACTCCAGGAATCTGAGTAGACTTTCCCTTAAGAATAGCACTTTTTACTCAGTAGAATGGCTAGACTACTAGGTAGTTAAACATACATAAAGGGCTGGGAATATAGCTAGGTTGGCAGACTGCTTCCTAGCATGCATAAGACCATGGTTCTATCTCCAACACTACATAAACTGGGCACGGGGGCACGTGAATATAATTCTAGATAGGAAGAGCAGGCGTTCAGCTGCACAGAGAACTCATCAGTCTGGGCCTGGAGAAATGGCTCAACTGTTAAAGGCTAGACTTGCAACCAAAACTTTAAGAGAGAGAGGTCAACGTGGTCTACATGAGACCCCGTCTCAAACATTGGTGAAAATATTCACAATCTTGGACATTCCTATACTGCCTCTGAGTATAGAAAATGGTGTAGCCACTTTGGAAAACAATTTTATATTTGCTCAAAGCAATTAAGAGTTATACTTTAATGTAGACATTCTATTTCTAGGCATATACTCAAGAGAAATAAAAATAAGCCCATATATTAACTTATAACAAATGTTCCTAAGAGTGTTATTATTATAGCCAAAAGGTGAAAACAACACAAGGGCCTAAGAGCAGCTGTTCTCAGTTTGTGGGTCGAGACCCCTGGGGGCATTGAATGACCCTTTCACAGGGGTTGCATATCAAATATTCTGCACATCAAATATTTACATTACAACTCATAACAATAGCAAAAATACAATTATGAAGAAGCAACAATTAACTGTGTTAAAGAGTTGCATTAGGAAGGTTGAAAATCACATCTAAGAGGATTAGTGGATTTAGAAAAACCAAACAAAATTTTAAAAAAAGTATATTTAGACAATGAATATATTAATCCATTCAAATGATGAAGTTGATACATGCTATAATGTAGAGATCCCTGAAAATGCCATGCTCATAGTGAAAGGAGCAATCATAGACCATGTATTATGTGAGTATTTATAAGCAATGTTGAAAATAGCCAAATACACAGTAAACTGGAAGCCCCGCAGGACCAGGGTTGGATGAGAAGTTAAGGGTGGGTGCCAGCAAACATGTTCTATGTTAACTATGATATGACTGCAGAACTCCGAGGTCAGTGGGATCCGACTCAAAACCACTGAACTCTAATTTCAAAAAAAAAAGGGAATTGTGTGTGTGTCTGTTGTAAATGTATATAGTATGTGCAGTGTGTGTATGTTTGTATACTTGTTGGTGTGCACATATGTGTAAGAGCTAGAGATTTTGAGTATCTGTCCTCATCATTCTCCACCTATTTTTTTGATCCAGGATCTCTCACTGAATGGCTGATCAAAGAGCTTTAGGAATCTACCTGTCTCTGTGTCCTTGAGACCTGAGATGATTATAGGTGTAAGAAGCCAAGACTGGCTGTTTCCATAGTGTTATGCAATGTGACTAGCAGTCTCAAACTCTTACCACCATGGCTTCCTCACCAGGATGGACTGTACCTTTGAACTGTAACCTAAAATAAACTCTATCTTCTTTAAGTTGCTTGAGTGGTCAGGCAATGGAAAAAGTATCTAATTAATTACCTAGATAGTTCCTAAATCCAGTGACAAGTGTTCTTATAAAAGCTACATAGAAGCTAGGCGGTGGTGGCACACGCCTTTAATCCCAGCACTTGGGAGGCAGAGGCAGGTGGATTTCTGAGTTCGAGGCCAGCCTGGTCTACTGACTGAGTTCCAGAACAGCCAGGGCTACACAGAGAAACCCTGTCTCAAAAAAAAACAACAACAAAAAAAACAACAAAACAAAACAAAAAACAAACAAACAAACAAAAAAAGCTACATAGAGGAATCATATAGAAAGGAAAGCTTTGTAAATGCCCAGAAGACATGTCCTCAAGGCAAGTAAGCCAAGGAATGTCTACAGAGCGTGATCTGAACACAGGTCTGCATCCTCCAACATCAGGCAATTTATCAGCTGAGCTAACTTTGCCTTCTTGTCTCCCTCCCTTCCCTCCTTCCTTCTTTTCTTCTTTCTTTCTGATATTGTCAATATGGTTCAGGCTGTACTTGAACCTGTACTCCTTCTCAGTTTCCTCAGCACTAGGATTACAGGCATGTACCAACAACTTAGATAAACTGTACTTTTGTTACAGTTGTTGTCACTATGCAGCCCTCAGTAGCCTTGAACTCACAGAGCTCCACCTGTCTCTGCCTCCAAGTGCTGAGATGAAAGGCATGTGCCACCAGCTTGGCTAAAGTGTACAT